TAAAATTTTTAGCTTCCTAGCATGTGCTAGATAGCTATTGCGATAGCCGTTTTTTGAACATTTCAAAATTTCATCAAATGTCGACGTTTTAGACCATTTTAAGCAACTTTTAAAGAATAAAATTTTTTTCCGTCTGTATGTACGTACGTACGTTTGTTGGCAATTTTCTGAGAAAACGGCTCGACGGATTTTGTTGAAATTTTGTATATATGTTTTAGGCATACCGAACAGAAAAATAACGGGCCGGATTTTTGAAAAAAAATTTTGGAGCGCCGTAACGGCATCGAACTTTTTTTTTCAAATAGCAACCTACAATTTTTATTCTATTATTTGGAAGACCTTATTTTCCTGTGTACAACCTACAAAAAATTGGGCCGGGTTATATTATCAAAAAACGGAGAAAAAAAATGTCAAAGTCAAAAAACTGTGTTGCATATGTGCAAAACGCAACGATCTTGTTTCTGAAGCAATTTAAACGAAATTTCTATGGTAAGTCCCTTTAATAAAAGCAAACAAATTCATGCGCAAAAATCGTGTTGCGCATGCGCAGAAATGCAATTTTCTTATTTATGGATCAATTAAAACGAAATTTGGATGGTAGGTCCTCCTAATAAAAGAAAACAAAATGCATGCGCAAAAAATCGAGTTGCGCATGTGCAACATCCAACTTTCTTATTTATGGAGCAATTTTAACGAAATTTGGATGATAGGTCCCTCTAATAAAAGCAAACAAAATGCATGCGTAAAAAATGCACCTTTCGTATTTTATATGGTATGGAAAATATTTTAGATGGACGAACTTTTATGTTTTATTTAATTTTTTTATATATATCCTGTACCTAAAAAATAAATATTTTATTTTCAATGAATTTTGTCCCATTAATCCAATTTTTAGCCTCCTAGCTCGCGATGCGTATATATGTATCTATGTTAGTAATTTTTGAAGTTAATGGGTCGACTAATTTTGTTCAAATTTTGGATATACCGGCATGGAAACAAATAAGTAGGTATTGTGTTTTTTACTTAAGCTAGAAAGAAACCCAATAAGCATTATATGAGTGTCAGAGAGACATAACTTTATCGATATTACACTGACAGTATCGATTAAATGTGTCGTGGATACTAGCCTACTCAAAAGACGCATGAATGGCATCAGCACCTTTAGCTTGTTGTGTATTTTATTTCACACTTGTGTAATGCTTATTGCAAGATATATTAAAGATGGTAGGATGACTCGCCGCCATTATGTAAGACAGAATGCGGCGCCAGTTAAAATCGCTCCCTAGATGTCGCCACCCATCCCAGTGTACTTCACAAAACTGTCAATTTATTCTAACACGTCATTTAAATTTGAATTAAACCATCAAATATGAGAAAGTGTTTGATTTGAGACCACAATACGCCCTTAACTTGTGATACATCTTTACTTCGAGTTCCTTCAGTATGTAATTGAAGCATTTCGACTTTTTTTTTAGTCAAAATACCTACTTAGTGTAAATGCAATAATTACAATTCTTGTTTTGTAGATTGTCATAACGCGCAGCTTCTTAAAAGTATGCGTAACTAGCAAAATTGGTCTCATTAAATTGTTGACGTTGTTTATAGAAAATTTATTTGTAAATATTTGTAAAAAATGTAACAGGCAGTTTCTCTGATAATAATATGGAAAAAGGGTCTATGTTTTAACGCATCTGTATTTTAAATTTCCATGGAAAGTAGGAGAGCGACCACTAAGTAATTGTACTCGGCATGAGACCCAAGGCAAGGAAGCTGTGCAGAAGTGTGGTGTAGTTGTGTTTCCCCACACATCGTTAGCATCGACACCTAATACAATTCCACGTCGTTGCCTACGCAGTGATCTGTCATTCTTCTGAAGTCCGAAGTTGGTCGTTTTGCAGAGGCGTTAAATGGGAAGATGACTAAGGTTAGGATAAGCCACAGTTTCCTACTCCCGTTTTGTAGTTCAGCCTCCAGCACTGCCACACTCCTGGAACAGAAGTTGGTTAAAATTATTGCACTAGTCCCCTTCTATCCAGCATTTAGATCCTGGGAGCTTCCGAGATTAAGTTATAAAATAAAAAGGTAGGTTGAACAAGTCGGGTCCCCCCTACCTTCCATCTTAACAGTAATAATGTAGACTTTTGCCAGTTCCTTCAATCCCCATCTCAGCAGCCGAGAATCTCGCTAATCAAACGGGCAATAATGATTTTGTGTCAAGAGGTTCTTACAGCTCTCGGCATGATTGCTTACACCGTAGATTGTGTAGGTGAGGGTCATTTGATGCTTATCTTAATATAAGAAGGGCGGCTCCTGGTTTGTTCACATATGGTTTACATTAGCGTTCTTTCGGCTATTTCGCGATCATGATTTCAAAATCGTGATTCGTAGAATCACGTTTTACGAAAGAACGCGTAAATTTAAATCAAAGTATGGTTAAGTTTACGTAGTATACGTACATTTGCATTCGAATTACGTATTTTTTGTTTGGATTATAAAAATAATTTAAATACAAGTGGAAGTACTTGCACGATTATGCTCCTCTTCAATTACAAATATTGACTAACCTAACATTTGAGCAACAATATGCTTGCATTGTTAGGTTAGGAATTCATGATCATAAAACGTTTATGTTCAGTTTGTTCACGATTAGCAATCATGATTATAAGATCACACTTCGAAAATAAGAACGTGATTTGACAATCCAAACGCGTTTGGATCACCGAAAGAAAGCGCCTATTGATCAATGACTTGTTGACTTCGCTTGATCCAGTACAAGCTCCGACAGCTAGACGGGGTGAGAAGTCTGTAATGCAGGTATTGCGCTACTATTTACTGTGATAACGAGCATCCTTTTTAGTGGAACCCCTCAATGCTCTGTAACTTTGAACTTTAGCAAAGTGAACAGTGCGATGTGCAAGTTTGCCTGCTTATACATCCGATTAGTACTTGTCTATTTTATTTACCGAAATTGTTTGCAACAATAACTAGGTATAACACACTGTAGATGCCAAACCACACCAAGTCGCTAAGTAAAAAATTTTTGTACATAACATCATAACCTAAAACAATTTTAATGACATTAAGTTGAAGTACACTGATCACCCTGGCGCCATCTATGGATTGAGTTTACCTAGCGCCGGATTTGGCGTCAAATTTTACAGGTATAAGCGCGCCTACCAGTCTCTATATATCTTGGCTTATTGGGTTTCTTTCTAGCTTATTATGTCAGATTTGCAGTAACTTCCATTCCTATATATACCTACAGAGAATTTTTTTTAAATGTATACTTTCGGCATATGTAACCTTTAAAAAAACAGGTCAATCATGGGGAATAGATGAAAACAGGTAATCAACTCTACGCGAATTTGTTTGAAATAATCTATGCTATAAAAATGGTCGCTTAATGTCAAATTTAAGTTGCCCATTATTAGTGTGTATTTTTTATTAGTGTCAAATTGCGATTTTTCACAACGAATAAATTGGAATGGTATGTTCGATAACAGTTCAAGAAATGTTTGACGTATCCTGAAATCGTGTAATATTGGTTGCATACAATTCCACGAATTGACGGTTTTCTCTTCATAGCATGAGCTAGGTACAATGCGAAATTTCATCAAATGTTGACGTTTTAGATCATTTTAAGCAACTTTTAAAGAATAAATTTTTCCCGTCTGTAAGTGCGTACATATGTTGGCAATTTTTGGTTTCAGCTAGGAAGCTATTCTGTCAAGAATTTGACACCTGGTTATTCCTTCTTATTGCGAACCAATGACATTAGAAGAGGCGCACACGCGTATTCTTTATTTATTATTTTATCTTGATAACCTAAAATAAAACAAGTATGAGGTGTTGTTTTATGAAGTTATGAAAGCAAAAAGCAAAAATCTCCGTAAATCCCCATGTGCGGTCGAAAAGTATAGGAATATCACATTTTTTATTATTGAAAATGTACTTTACACATTTTATTTTCGTGATACCTACTGTTCAATATTTTAAGCGTCTGCGTTTCTATTTCAATACGTGTTATCTGTGTCTGTGTGTAGTTATGGGAGTTCTGATGGTTTTTAAAAAAATTATTTTGTGTTATCTGTACATGTAGTTGTTAGGTACGATTATTTATTTTATATAGTATATTATATTGTAAATTGCCCTAGGCGTAAATAAACATTATTATTATATTATTTGCACAACCACTTTTCCAAAATAGTATATTAGTATACCTATTTAGAAAACGATAATCAAGTATTTATAAAAGTATCAAAACTTTAGATTCCTGATAACAGAATCTAAAATTCCCGAATTATTCTGTAAAAAGTAACGGTAAATCGTCAGATGAAACTGTCGCGTCTGTAAATACAGTGAATAATGCCATAGAGTAAATAAGGTTTACTCTATGCTCATACTATAAATATGTAACGGTTTCGAATTACTACCTACACCATGGAGTACAGTTGCTGTTGCAACTTTCATGAATGATGACGTAATTTCATTTAAAGCTCAGCTTTGAAATATCTTAAGCTCTTCCTAAAGGCTCCTATAAATGAATAAAGAATACCAGGGAGGAGCATTACTAGTATAACAAGTCTCTGTTTATAATTGTATCCTTCTACAACGGTAAGATAGGTACGCCACTGGAACAGGAAACTACTGTCCGCCATTTGCAAAAGTCAATTCTCCTTCCTGGTATTCTTTAATTCATTGGC